TTCTCAGGGCATCAGTAGAAGGTCAGACTTAAGGTAATCTGTTCTTGGTTATCCCAAATTTGTGCACTGCTAGCATATGTAATTTTAAAAAGAATTTTTAGGAGGGTAGATCTCTAGTAGCATGTATCTACTACATATGGAGGAAAACCTTACCCTCTTTGAACATTCTGAAGCTCTATGTAAAGTTAATAAATTGAAAACTGGACATACACTTTTTTAGATATCCACTGCATATGAGCTCTGCCTTCATCCTCTCACTGAACCTACCTTGATTCAGGCAGTTTGGACAAAATTAATTCTGAAAAGTCCATTCCAGTCCTGGACTGTTCATGCTTCTGCCTAAATAATGGATGTCAACATAGCTAAGTGGAATGATGACATGGTAGGACCTAAAGTATATCCTGCGACCTTCTTGAGCTAGAAGAACAGAAAATACTGGTGGTGTTTCCATCACTTATTATGGAAAACAACAACAACAACAACAAAAACAAACACACAAAAAAACCCAGATACATTTGTGCTCTCTCTAGCACTTTATAAGTAAAAATAAATCACTCTGCTTTCTACCGGAGAAGGACCAGTACAAACCAGTACAACAACTGGCACAAATGGGAACTTTAGAAGGGGTGAATCAGCATTTCCTTCCAATACACATTCATGTTTATATACATATATGTATGTATACACACATATATTCACTAGCTAAATGGATGCATATCTCAGAAGTTGCATGTGCATAAAGATAAAAGAATCCCTAGTAACCCTAAGAACCTTCATGAACACTTCAAAAATCGCTGGACATATGCTTGCAAGTTTATTCAGGTTAAATTTAGGAAGGTTTCAGTGTATCAGCTTCCACTCCATGTTTATACAGGGTTTCTATTCTGCTCTTGCTTAAAAGTAACCAGTTAAAAAAACTTTTTATTGAATGCTCTTTGAAGTTATTACTGATACTATTGAGTGATACAGTTCACCTCTGCCCAGACACCATGGCAAGGTAGTACACTGTCCGCTCAGCCATGCCTCCATCACATTCCTCAGTAGCCCCTGTCGCTATTTACAAGGTGGACAGGGAAACCGAGGCCCTCGGTGAATAACCAGGTCAGCAAACTCTCGCAAGCGGAGACCACTCTCCACACAGCTGCCAAGGACCTCTGCGATTCCCGAGAGGGCAGCTGCCCCACACGACGGCGAACAGGCCTTTCCCGCTGCTGGCCCTAGGGAGGGACCTGTCGGCAGCCCCAGCCGCGGGAGAGAACGGGAGGGGCCCGCTCCCTCCAGCCCGCTTTCCCCGGGGGCGAGGGGCGGCCGGGACACAACGCCCCCGACCGCGGCCTGCAATGGACACCGCGCTCGGCGGCCCGGCCTGCCCGGGGCGGCGCGATGCGAGCGGTCCCTCCGGGGCCGGCAGCCTCCTCCCCGCCGCTCGAAGGTCTCTGCTCCTCGCAGAGGAGCGCAGAGTCCCAGGGCGCGGCGGGAGAAGAGCGCCGCGACCCCTCAGCGCCTGAGCCCCCGGGGCGCCGCGGGCGGGATCGGCCCGCGATTCCCCGGCCTGTCGCTAAGAGCCGCCCGAGGAGACCGCGGCCTGCAGCGCCCGGCCAGGCCCCGGCCTCAAGTTGCCTCCTTCCCCTGCCGCCCCTCGGAGCCCGGAGGCGGGGAAGCGGGAAGAGGCACCTGCGCCAAGGGCTGCTGGGGTTGGGGGAGGCGGCCAGCCGGCCACCGAGCCCCGCAGCCCCTCCCTGGCTGGGGGTGCAGAGCCTTTCCCCGTCCTCGGTGTCGCAGCTGATGTCAAGCCCTCGCCTCCCTCCTACCTGACAGCATCCCCCATCCCTATGGCTCCCTCAGCCCCGGTCAGGCAATAGAGGGGACCTTACGCCAAAAACCATCACCACAAATATATCCCTCTCTTCCACAAACGCGCCCTGCAAGAGGAGGGAGGGAGGAGGAACAAAACAAAACCCGACTCCCCTCCCCCAAAAGAAGATGGGGTGAGGGTGGCCCCAAAGTGACCAGTCCCTCGATTAAACCGATCCGGTTCCCGCCGATGCCGAGCGGTACTGCAGCCCCCCCGGCCAAACTCGGGGCCGCCGCCCGCCCCCAGCAGCGATTGCTGACCCCCGGCCCGGGGCACGGCGCTGACAAATGTCACCCGGTGCCCACAATGAGCGCCGCGGGGCGGCTTCTTCTCCGTCTTCGTCCCCCCAAAATAAGAAAATTCTCTTTTAAGAGGAAAGACACGCGAGCCATCAAATAAAAGGGCACCCCTAGCTCCCACCCTCAGCGCCCGGGAAACACTCTCGTAAAAACTTTGTCCAGGGCTCCCCCCCTGATAATAGTAGAATTTAAAACCTGTCAACCATTTTAGATCCCTGCTTGAGAAAACAGCATTCCCGGGCACCGGCGGATTTGGGAAACGGCTCTTGAGCAGAGCTACCGCGGCTCCCCTCCCCCGGGCCGCAGGGGAGGCGGCCGGGGAAGAAGATGCTTCCTGGGGAGGGGGTGGCGGGAGGGGGCGAGGGACGGGAGCGTTCGCTTTACCTGAGACCAGCCACTGGCCTCCATTGTTGGAGAATTCAATGGCATTGACACAGCCGAAGTGGCCCAGGAGGTCCTTCTTGTAGAGGTTCCTGCAGCCCCGCAGGCGTCTTCGCTGGAAGTCTTGGGTGAGCAGGGGGTCCCCCTCCAAGCCCCGCTGGGACAGGAACCCCACCACCGACCGCATGCTGCCCCCCCGGCTGCCTCTCCTCCTCATGCTGCCGCCTGCGCCGCTCCCCGCCGCTCCTTCCCCCGCCGCCCCTTCCCCCGCCGCCGCCTCCCCTCCCCCGCTTCCCCCCTTGTTATGGTTATGATGATTTTTCTTTAGCCAGCCATGGCAGAGAGGTGTTAGACACTCCGCCGCTTCCTGATCCCGCTGGCTCCTCCCCGCTTCCCTCAGCAGCTGATCCTCAGCTGCAGCCCGCGCCTCCCGGCCCGGCTCTAGCGTGGCGCCGCCGCCGGTTAACTCGCTGCTGGAGCGGCGCGGGGGACAGACACACTCGGCCCTGCGGGGGCACGGTAACGACAGCCACTCCAAGGACCTCCTGGGGCCAGGACACGTTCGCCGCTGCGGCGACTTGCAGGGGGCCGGACACACTGGCCGCTCCGGGGACCTTTTGGGGGAAGGACACGTTCGCCACTCGGAGGACCTGCCGGGGAACGGGTGCTCCCGTCACTCGGAGGAGCCGCGGGAGAACGCGTCCCGCCGCCGCTCAGCCAGCCCTGCTGAGTGACCTGTGCCGCCAGCGGCCCCGCGGCGGGCGGGCAGGTGCTCCCGCGGAGCGCTGGATAGGAAAGGAGCGCTCCGGAGCCACGGGCGGGCAACGCACCGGAGGGAAGATGAGAGGAAAAATAGCTCAGGTGCGGGGGCGGTTTGCAGTGGGGCTTGTCCTCTGTAAGTGCTGAGTGATTTCTGCGGGAAGTCAAAGCATTACGGCTTTAGAGTTTAGTTTGGAGTTTTTTCGTTGTTGTAGTAGTTGTTTGCTCAGTGATAGTTATTAGAAGACCGTCTGAAGTTTCATAACTTGCTCTCTCCTGCTCCTTCCCGAGCAACACTGAAAACAGGAGGGTTGCCCCATCACAAGTGAGTCAGTAGACCTTTCTGCAGCCCCGCTGGAAGTACAAATGAATTGTCTTCTCTTACTCTGCAGTGTTAACTAAACCCCAAAAGTCAGCTGGCTAACCAGGTGGAAGTAATCTATGTTGTCCTTCACTGTTTAATAATACCCTAAGCTTTACTTTACTGGAATAAGAATATCTTTTCTCTTTCACAGGACCCTGTACCTCTCAGGTATCATCTGATGCTATGTCAGGCAACAGGAGTGTCATTCAAATAGTGATGTTCATGAGGTGCTGCACAGAACCCCAGCCCCACCTTGCATGCTGCCTGTGCACAAAGCGAGTAACTTGAAACTTTCAGGTCTCTATTTCCCCATAGCACCAGGACCCAGGGAAGATACAGTTTTCAGAAGGTGAGAGGAATTAGCCTGACCATCCTGGCCGTCTTTATGTAGTACTGCACCTGCTGGGAATTAGGAGTCTTCAAAGTTGAAAATAAGCAGAGGGAAGAACCCTACCTGACATAAACTGTGATGCGGCAAGGTGACTCAGTACTGTTAGACTGCTGCCATATTCCAGTGACAGCTTTTCCATAGAAATAGAAGTGATTTCATTATAGAAAGTCAGTTAAGTGCTTTGTGTTTCTTCCTGGTTAAGATTATAGAAAGAGCATTAAATCCTGCATAAACCAAGCTTTTTATTTGACAACACTATAGCCTTAATTTTAACACATAACAAAAGTAAATAAAAAACTTTCTCTTCTAATTAGGAATAAAACAAAGAATGGAAGAGGTTACATCAACAGGGTTAACAATAACAATTAACAATGCTTCACAACTGAAGTGAAAACAGAGCAGTTAATCTCTTCAAATCTGAACTGTACATAAGGGTCTTTTCTAGTTACAGTTGTTGATGGCCAACTATTACAATATAAAATGCCTAACCACCCCCAATACAGAGAGGCAAAGATGCTGTCCATCATGGTTTGTGTTTATTACCTTAGCTTCAGACACAGGTAAGTTTCAGATATTGCTATAAAATCATACTTTATAGCTCTGTTGCTTGCATGCCATGACATTCTGCACCATTACAATTATATCAGAAACGGTTGCTCACTTCTAAATTCCCAACATGTGGTTCATTTTTTCCCATTTCCTAAAGTATTGTTCAGGTTTAATATCTTTGATACCTTTGGTTTCTGTAGGGAAATAAATATGCATTATAATAACATCTCCAGTGCTTTTTCTCAACGTTCTGGATCCAGTCTCTAGGAAAGCTGGTTTTACATAGAAATAAAACTATTTCCTAAGCCCCCAGTTCCAGGATTTTAAAGAAAGATTTAATCGAGTTTGGTTTTGTGTTGTTGGAGTGTTTTGTTTGTTTGTTTTTGTGGGTTTTTTAAAATCACATTTCTAAGCAGTCAGAATTTGAAAGAAAAATAATAGCAGACTGCAAATCTGTTCTGCTCAATAACGTGACCATATAGGTTAAAAAAACTGTACTGGTAAGCATTCATTTCACTCTCTGATTCCTTTCTTTGAATTAATTTTGAATATAACACCTAAGGAAGTTTTCATAGCCTATACAGGTAATATCTTCCTTGGAAAATAATGTCTTTCTGTGTTAATAAAGACAGAGTGCTGTTATCTCTCCAAAGCACATACACTGTTGTCCTGAGTCATACTGAAGTAGCATAGGTGAAGCATCTTTGTCTACTTAAACAGGAACATCCTGCAGCTTGCAATGGAATTGATGTAGTGACCGTAGTTAGTCAAACAGATCAAACTTCATCAAGTTGCTGTTCTGGGGGACATGTTAGCATGAGGGGTGCTATACCGAGACTGGTTGTCACAGACCAAATAGGATTAAGCCTAGCCAGACTCAAAGGGCACAGGAAGCCAGAGTCTGTCTGTAAACACTGCTTGAGCTGCTTATTTCTGTAGGATGTTTATAGTCTCTTCCATGTCTCAAAAGCAGCATGAAATCAAGCACGACAAATGTTTTGACTGGAATTTCAACAAGTAGGCAACAGAGTGGAGGAGTCAACTAGAAAGGAAATGGGAGATAATGAACAGCGTGGTGACTTGCTGTAGATGCCCCTGGAAATGAAGGTAGGTAAATAATGTTTGATCCAATACAGAAGAGGGAACTAAGAGAATTCCTCAAATAGAGAAGTGATGTGGTTAGAGTAATGATCTGTGTAAACAACCTTGGGTTGCAGTTTCAGAGTTGTTAATTCCAAGACTGCAGAGCCCAGTCTCTCAGCAGCACTAAATTGATCTGGATGAGGTATGGCCATGATGTCACATTGCTTTCATATTAGCGTCTGTCCATGCTACAGAATTTTTGTTCTGCCTCTGGAAGGACTGACGATAACTGATGAGGGTTTACTGTCTGCTGGTACAAAGTTATCCCTTCAACATTTTTCCTGAATAAAATTGAATTGGGAAAATCAGTTAAATTGCATTAGTTGTTTCCATTTGATGGCTGTGGTGTATTTGATCATTAATAGGAGGCCTACAGTCAGCTTTGCTCTGTTGTCAGACTGTGACATTTCCAGTGGTCAGTGGCTGTTGTGTTAGGAGCTGTGTTGGTTAATGCTGGGGGGAATATTAGGGCAGTCTTTGTATATCAGCAAGAGAACAAGGGTCTTAGCTGCAAAGATGGATCAAAGGGCTGTTTTGGAGCTGCTACATATACCCTGGGTGCTAGGATCTACAAATCATTTCAGTCAGACCTGACAGTTGACAAACAAGCTTCAGTGGCAGGTAAACTGGTGGTGCTATCCACAGATACTCACAAAGAAGATAATGAGAGGGTTTTAGGGAAGAGTTCTTACTCTGCTGAGCTCTAATTTCCTGCTAGTCATTCACAGAAGAGAGAAGACTATGTTTTGAGTTTGGATAGGGGGAGGTATCTGATCTGAAATACAAATAAATTAATATCTCTCTGCAGTTGATTTATGGATCTGCTCCTTTCCCAGAGCTGACTCAAAGATAATGTAGGAGGGTAACAGAAGACCAAGGATACAGCTCTCTGAGAGTCTGTCAAAAACTAGGAAGGAAGTCTTAAATAGGTTAAAAGTATTTAAGTGAAGCATTGTTGATTGTGTCAGGCAAGAAAGGATTAGATTTAAATACTTTTTTGGGGGTTCTGTTGAACTTTTGGTTGGCTTTGGTTAATCCAGAGTGGAAACTGAGAACTTTGCACACTGATTGTTGGATGTCTATGGAGTGAGTCAGAGAAACTGAATGCATAATTAGAAAAGTGGAGCTGAGTCAAGGCTTTTATTCATTTGTTTATTTATACCACTATTTTTTGTTTTTGAGGAAAAAGAAAGGGTAAACCAAGAAGGCTACATCATATTGAAGCATATAATTAAAAAAAAAATTTTGCTTGTGTAATTTATTCCCTCTAGTGAAAATTTGGTGGCTTCTGGGCTTTTCTCCTTTTGCTTACTTTCATGGACCAGAAAGGTAGGAAAAACAAGGATTGTTTTCTCAAATGTCTCCCCTTGGGGCTTGCTGTTCTGCTATGTAGGCTATGTTCTGCTATGCTAAGCCAATCTGATGATTTGTGGCCACTGAAAAGTGGCTTTAGTTTTTTGTGACTCTATGTTCTGTCCCTTTCTTTGTGCTAATGCTGCTACTTATTGGACCTGCTTGTCTGCCATGTGTTTATTTGGCTCATGGAAGTGTCCCAATGAATGCCAAAATCAGCACAAGCTAGTCTGGAGTGCCCAGCTGGGAGATGAGTTTTGGAGATGGGGGATGTCATATTCTTAGCAGCCATAAACTGTGAGGCTGACTCAGAGTGCCTTCTGGACTGAGCTATTGGGGTAAGCTAAGCAGCTCTTCAAGAAATGGAACTGTGAAATTCATCTCTGTTTCTATATAAGCAATGAAAAGGGTTGGCAATTAAGGAAGAAATAAATCGATGATGATTTATGTTAATACAAGTCATCCTCATGGGATTATCTGGCATTTTACACCTCTGAGTTTTTTCAGATTTTTTGCAAAACCTGCAAATTCTGTCAGATCCGTTCAGTGAGCTACCACTGACTCATCTTTTGGCTTAGGATGTAGTTTCACTGAGATCTGGCTGTATGATGAGCTAGTACAAGGAGTTAAACCAGAGGAAACCCAGTTTTTTGCTGTGCTAGATTTCTGTTCACTTAATTCCTTGAATCAAGCGGGCACCAGTATTTGCAGAATTGAGGCTGGAGAAGAATGCTGACAGGTAGAAAGGGGAAGCAGAATTGCCTTTTCAACAGAAGCTAAATCTTCTATCCACTTTGGTGCAGTGTGAGACTCCACCTTTAGGATGTGGCTTCACAGTTGATTGAAACTGATCTCATTCTGACTTTTTGAGGAAAGAAACTCTACTGCCTTCCTGGTATCAACCCTATTAAAACAAACCCTGCTCAAAATGGCTTGTTTGCATATGTAGTCATGGCATTACTAGCATGGACAGAAGGAAGATAAATCAAATTAGGACTTGAAACATGTGTTTGGCTTTTTTCTGTAGCTTGGGATGGGGCCCCAAAGAGAGTGTTATTAATGAGCTAGTGGGGACTACATGCAGCTCTCTGCTCATTGTCTGCTACCAGCAATTTAAGTCTTCACTGGAGCCTCTATCCTTTGATATTCCATGATCATTGATTTGCCTTTGAACACTGACTCATTTACCCTAGTCTTCACCCTCCTAAAGGATGAGCTAATGTCATTATAAAAATAATACCTCTTTTTTCTCTGATCAGCAGAACAAGTGAGGCCTGGTTTCCTATGGATTTGTCCTGATGTGGTACTGCTGTGTGGATTTTCATATGTATATTAAGCAGTGTCTGCACATGCTTACCATTTTATCAGTGATAGCTTTATTAGGACCTGTTTCATCCATTTGGCTTTACATTTCACTTATGTTACCTTTGTACAAATTTAGATGGAATTTAGCAATGGTTTAAACATGCTTTTTTTGGCAAGGAAAATGGGGGACGTAATGGGACCCAGAGGCAGAAACACTAACATAGAGTAATTTCATAAGCATTCTTTCCTTAGGAAATTAGGCTAAAAATTAGTCTTTTGACAGAGACCTCAGCAGAAACCTCAGGTCAGGCTACAGACACAGAAAAATAAATGTTGCTGTTTACTATGTAAAGGCTTGCAGTTACCTGCTGTTACAGATTTCTTGTAAGGCTAAGCCAGCAGTTAGATAATCACTTGATTATCTTCTCATCTTCAGCAATGTCCCTATCAGGTTTTGGGAACTTGTGGTCTTTTTGTTTGTTTGGGGATTTTGTTTTGTGGGTTGTTTGCTTTATGTTTTGTTTCATTTTACCAGAGTACACTCATGCATCACTTGCTTTCATTTATTTTTAAATTAATCTTTATACTTGAATAAATGGCTATGTAGGTAAAAGCCAAGCTGTTAGAGACTTGTGGCTTACTTATGGCACTACAGGACTCTGTAATGCCAGTGATGCCATGAAAAATATAAGGCTTTGAATGCAACCAGGGATACAATCCTCTTACTAAGAGAAAAGCTAACATCTTCGTGAGATTTTCACTGTGTAATAAATATTGGGGTATTTGATTGCATTTTTTTCTATTGTAAATTTACACTTCTATTACTTTAGAAATGAAAATAAAGTATTTGTAAGAGGAAAACCTGCTATTTCAGATTTCTGGGGGTCCACCTGCATATAACCTTTGCAGATTTGTTCAGTACTCTGTGCTTATCTCTGACAGAGTTCTCTTAAGGATGCCTTGACTACCCTACACTAAGGCAGCCAGATCCTGGAGCCCACCTGCACCAACTTTATTCTCTTTCCAGTCACTTGGGTCTTGAAATGTTGCATCCCCATATGTCACCTTTTTTCCTTGAACTAGTTTACACATGAAGCAACTCCCTAATTTTCTGGCCTTGTCATTACAAAAACATTCATATTTCTCCCCTCACACGGGGGGAACAATCACGTGTCATGATTATACCTCTGTTAATTTCTCAATACTCTCCATTTGATTCGTTCTCTCTTTGTTTTCTTCCAGTTTGCCACTTTGGAGGTGGCTGCGATTTGCTGTTTATTTTCCTGGCTGCCTTTGTTCTTTACTTCCCAGTGTATCGGGTCCCTCCTGCCCCAGGGGCTCCCCGGTGCTCTGCGTGTGGGTGACTTCTCTCCCGCTGCGGCTCGCTCCTCAAGCCCTTCCTAGTCGAAGACAAGAAGCCGCACTTTCACTCCAAAAATCTCCTTTTAAAAGACCTGTTTTTTCAGTATTCTTGCCAATTTTTGCCCCGGCCCAAGGCACGTTGGCGCCTGCCCAGAGACACAGACGCCCCTCCACTAGCTGCCGTACAACATGGCGGCGCCCACCGCCCACTCGCACCGCCGGCACAGAGGAAGCGTCCGCCGCTCTAAGGCTCCCGGTGTGTGCGGCGACTGCCCCGCGGGGCGTTCCTGCAGCCGGACGCAGCCGTTTCGCGGGACGTAGGCAGCAGGCCGATCGGTGGGCTGGGCGCGGGGAGAGACTGCTGCGAGCATCCCGGAGAGGCGGCGGCCGCGGCTGCAGGTGCGCCGGTGCGCGGTCCGGTTTGCCCGCGGCCTCCCGCATGCTCGCTCCCGGCGTCCGGGCCTCTTCCCGGCGTAGATAATAACCGCGACCGAGCCTAAAGCGGGCAGCGCGTTCCCCCTGGCGCCGAGGAGCCGCGGACTCCCCCGCCTGTCCCCATCCCGCCGGGCCCGGCATCGGCCCGGAGGAGCGCTCGGCTGGGGTCCCGGGCCCGCCCCCGGGCCTTGGAGCGCCGATGCCGCCGGCGCTGAGCGGGGGCCGGGATGGTTTATCGGGGCTTCTCCTGCCCGGAGTGGTATCCGCAGAGGGATCAGAGGCATCCCCGGTTCCCAGAGGGGTAGTGGCCGTTGCACTGAGGGCGAGGCCGTGGCTGCGGGCGGCCTCGCTGCATGCGGTGTCCGCGCTCAGCTTACGGGGTGGCAGTGAGTGACCTGTTGCTTCGGGGGCGCTCGGGCAGGTGCGCGGGCCGTGCTCGGGGTGCTGGAGCGGCTGTGCAGGGCTGGAGTAGCATCGACAGCCGAACTTCTGCTTGTGGGGAAGAGTGCAAGGACAGCCCTTCAGGAGAAACGTGGTGGTTGGGGAGGTAGGGATGGAGGGGCAGGATTGACTTCAGTTTATTGAAGCGGTACTAAGCTTCTGTATGATAGAGGGACAGCTGTGTTAAAAATGAGATGCTGCTGCTTTAGGGCTCTTCAATGCCTGAAGAGCCATTTGACCCTAGTTTGGATGTGAATGTAAGGGACAAATGCCTGTTGTTTACTAAGGCGTGAATGGACATGCTTACTCTGCAGCAATTTCATTTGGGCCTTGTTTAGGTTGATCTAGTTAGAAACTGAACTAAAAGATGTTGATAATAACCATGACTAGTTTATTTTTGGAATAGCAGTTTGTGGAAGCACTGAGTTGCACCAGTTAAATTTAATGGATTCCCTTTAAGGTTTTTAGTGGTGTGTTCAACAGCAGCATTCAGTCTCCTCTTCCTGCCCAATCCATCACTGTAGTCTCCAGGCCCCCGTCTATCAAAGTGGGACCCAGACCTTTTATCTGTCAGGATCACAAATTGTGGCTTGAACCTTGTTATGATACCATTGCATGTGTTTAATATCTCTAAACACATTTCATTAAGTTGTCTTTAATTTCTTCTTTTATTTTTCTCTGCAGGCCATGATGGAAGCCCACAATGCCATTTTGAGAGGGTGAGGTGAAGGAGGAGAAAGGGAAATAAGAAATGGCCAAGCAAACAGCCGTGACGATTACTTTGGCGACCCTGCTGGGTGTTGCACTGGGGGGCCTGGTTTTGTGGAAAGCCTCCCAGTGTCGGAAAGGAAAAACACGCTGTAGTAATCGGCAAGAGCAAGCAGCAGTAAAGTCAGGAGAAGAGAAACTCATTAAGGCAGAGGATAAGAAGGTGCTTTCCTTCTTCAGATCTCCCACCTTTTTCTGGGTAGAGGGGACCCTTGGTGCAGACATAGTGATGGTTTCAGAGCAGGAGGAGTGGGATCATGTAGAACCATTGCTGAAGAAGGAGCTGGAGAAGTGGCCGGTTCTTGGAATTGATTGTGAGTGGGTGAGTGATCAAGCAGTGTCTCTCTTTCCTTTAGATTGCAAATTGCAAGGGGAAATCATTGAAGGTGGAGCAGTTCCTTTGCTTAAACAGATACCACAGGGCTCACTATTGAAACTGATTGTCTGTCATGATGGCAGTGAAGTAGCTGCTAATTTTGATTCTTCTTATGTTTAAACATGCTAAGTTTTTAATTCACTAGACGTATTTGTTTACTGAGTTCCTGTGATAAATCGATTTTTCTAAATAAGTAACAGTTGTATGGCTAAATATAGCACTATGTGTTTTTTATAATATCTCTTAAAAGGTGATTTACTAGAAGTACTTGGGCTTACACTGTTTTAAATCCAGATACATATTTAAGAAACAATATCTTAAGAATGTTAAATCCAAAAAGGAGGATAATGCTGATATGTAGATAAAACTCACTGGGACAACCAGATAACAAAGTTCCTCTTCCGCTTGTACATTTGCATGTGTGATATCTCAAACAGGCTTAAAGTAATTTATAAAGCCTGGCTTTGCCATCGTTTTGACTGGAAGTTTATTCACCCCACAGTCATTAGTATAAGCCACAGCTAAACAATGTATTTGTCGTTAACATTTATATAGTGGGTAGCTTTGTGCTGACCTGGATTCAAAAATGTTTCTAATTTCTTCCACCAGCTCAGCTATGAAGGGGAAGGGTGAAAGGGTGAAAGATTCTCTTGTGGAAGTGTGGCAAGAAGTAGCTTGGGGACAATAATACTGTGTACAAAGATACATACTGTATACAAAGATATATGTAAAGATACATAATTTGCAGTGAATTTTTAGAGACATGTAACAATACTTGACCACATAAACCAATAAGTATTTTGTGCTTTCAGTGGCCTTTTTTTTTGCAGTTTGCTTCAGCAAACTCATTATTGCTAATAATGAGGTAACCTGGACTCTCATTTTTTACTTCAATCCAGGTATCTGTGGCTGGAAAAGCAAATCCTGTATCCCTGTTACAGATGGCTTCTTCCAGTGGCCTCTGCATTCTTGTTCGGTTGCCCAGGCTTGTTGCCAGTGGCCAGACTCTTCCGAAGACGCTGTTGGACATCATGGCAGATAGTGCTGTGTTGAAAGTTGGGGTAGGATGCTGGGAAGATGCTTGCAAATTGCTTCATGATTATGGTCTTCCAGTCAAAGGGAGCATGGACCTCCGGTATTTAGCCATGAGACAGCGGTAAGTGCCTGAAGACAGAAGTAGGTCCCTTTGAGGCATCCTTTGAGTTGGAAATATTTCTTAGGTGTTTTGCATAAGTTGAATGATATCAGGCTGGTATGTCTGGAATTCTTAGGGTGGCCTTAGAGATTGGGCATTGATAGCTGCAGCCCAAGTGTCATGCTTCTACTCTGTGGATTTCATTTGCTAATTATGTTCATTAGTCTTCTCTCACAGACTGATACCTTTGTGGACTTCTCTGTGTATCATGCTTCAGCTTTTAAGAAGTCCAGGCACAGTGATATAATGCAGTGAGAGTGAGCACTGTGTCAGCAGATGTTTGAATACACTGCCTAGAAGTGTGAGTTAAATGTGCCCAGGGCATGTAAGTGGAACTGTTGAATTTCAAGATTTCTTGAAAAAATAGTAAATAAACTAGTTCCAATTTACTCTTTTAATAACAATTCTTCTATGGAAAGGCTACACTTCTACGGAAAGGTTATCACAAATGTGATGCCATTTTCTTATCTTTCACTCTTCCTAAAACAAGATATTTTACTTGCAAATATTTTTCATGTACAGTTATATGTGTCCTTGGGTGTGGTGTTAGTGATCTGGGCCATGGGTTTGCTGATCTATTGGTGCCTTTTTAGCACTGAGAATGGACTTCTTGTCTCTAGTGGCCAGGGTTCTTCTGAGTCATTCCTGGTTCTTGGGCTTCTCATGAATCCCTCAGACAAATGGTCCATCACTGTATGATGGATCTTTTTAGTTCAGAAATGAGTAGTTCAGAGCCAAACACTTCAGCCTTAAATGTTACTAACTCCCAGCCTTGCCTGCTTTGCATATTGCAGACACGAGATAATTACTAAATCTAGAAAAGGACATTTTAGTAGAGGCGAGGGAGAGGGCCTGTAAAGCTGACAGGCAGCTGTGTGCTGTTTGAGTCATGCATCATGTGCATTGTGTTCTCGTAGGTTCAGGCTGTGTGAGGCCACATGAATTTGCATGAGTGTATAGTTTCATTTTTAATATGTTTGTTTCACTCTTTTTGTTGAACTGAAGGAAGGATCTACTTCACAACTGCCTTAGCCTCAAGTCTTTAGCTGAAAAAGTACTGAACTTCCCACTTGACAAGTCTCCTCATGTGCGTTGCAGCAACTGGGAAGCAGAAGAACTGACACAAGATCAGGTGTGTTCTCCACTTCAACTTACTATTTTGGGAGGAAAAGTAACCTTCTTAGTTGAAAAAGAGGTTTTACAACAGGGAGATCTGAGCCTATTCGAATTATACCTCAAAACCTTATGTGTTACAGAGCCTAAAGTTAATTTCAGACTCACTGCCTGCATTTCCCTCCTTTTCCATGAGGATAATTTTCTGCTATTCTCCCTGGATTCTCTGCCCTTTTTTTTCTTTAGTCCTGAAAGATCTGTGAGGCAAGATCCCTTGAAGAAGTGTTTCCAAAAACCTCACCTTTTTATTTTTTTTTTCTATCTGTAGCAGTCAGTGCAATATTAGAGAGACACTGGACATTGCTGGAGACACTGGACAATGCTCTGGAGCATTGTTGTTTTCCCTGACTTACCGGTTTCTTTAGTCAAGCTGCACATGCCTGCAGAAGCAATGACCGGCAGAGGGAGTGACAGGACAAAAAACCAAGCTGAATACTCTTAGCCAGTGTGCCAAAATGAGGGAGGGTTTGGTGGGGTAGGAGAATGTCTGACCTAAATATATTTTCAGTCCCTTGCAGTTCCTGGGGGCACTACCCCCAGGGTAGTGGGATGTGGTGATGTTAGGAAAGTGCCATTCAACTGGCAGAACTTGATGTGAAATTCAAATGGAAATGAATCCAGCTTCTGGTTTTACTGTACCTTGTGCTGGTAATGTTGGGAGTATTTGCTGTTTGTCAGTATCTTAATTTCTGTGCTTTTCTCCAGATTCTGTATGCTGCTAGGGATGCCCAGGTCTCAGTGGCTTTGTTCTTCCACTTGCTGGGATTTACCAGCCTCCCTGCTACATCTGAAGGTGAAAACTCTGTCTCTGCTTGGGAGAAAGCACGGGGTAAATGCCAGGGCTTGATGGATATCCCATTTAGAGGAAGAAAGAGTGGCAGCACAGGAGGTGAGAAGAGTGGAGAGGGACGTTCCCCTCAGAAAACAAAGAATCGAAAATCTTGGGTGAATGGCCAGCCCTCTGGCAATCAGCAAATGAGAGATCCACGGAGGCAGAAGCGAAAGCCTCTGGGTGTGGGATATTCTGCACGGTGAGTATATGAGCACATCTTACTCTTTGCACTGCATATGGAAAACCCTGAGTGTTGTCTCATGCTCTGGTCATTAAACAAAGTAGATCACATGAGCTAGGAAAAGGAACACAGGACCTAACAGTCATGGGGGTCAGATCCTATTTCTGTTTTCCTCATTTTCCTCTAGATGGTATTGAAAGCGAGGGCAGCACTTATATCTCTACTTAGATCATGAGCAAGTTGAGGTGTTTGAGTTTTGCCTTCCTTCCCCTGTGGAAGCATTAGCCAGAGAGCAGAGTCCTAGCAGGAGGCAGTTGTTTTTCCAGGTATTATTCTTGCATGTCCAAGGTGTCCCGAGCAGAGCCAGGAGTTGTACTTGATGATCCTGGTGGGTCCTTTCCAACTCAGCATATTCTATGATGCTGTGATTCTGCTCCCAAACAGCTGTGCCCTGTCTTATCCAAGGAAAAGGTAGCAACTGCAGAGAGCTTGTCCTTTCACCAGGATCTACCTCATGAACTGTTGTTTGTCCTTTGCTGTCCCATGTTGCTGTGGCCACAGAGGTGGCAGGGCTGAAAGCTGAGGTTAGCAGGAGTAAGACATCTTATGTGAGGTGCTGGAGGGCACAGGAAGGAACAGCCTGTGGTAGCAACAAAGCAATGCCCTTCTGTGTTAGCCAGGGGGTAAGAGGAGAAAATAGTGCTGCTTTGGCCTTGCAGAGGCTGCTGTTGCTGGATTCAGGATTACCATCCTTACAAGTGATTTTTTGGAGTGAATCCTAAATTGTTATGGGTTTTTGCTAGCAAGAGTTCAGTTGTTTTTAAATTAAAAACAAGTTGAAAAAGTTGATTTAAGCTCGATGAAATGGAAGATGTGGGATATCTGTATGTTTGGTTTTGTTAGAATACAATCTAATAAAATTTATCACTGGGCATAATTGAAATTATATGTAATTATCATTGGGAAAAAAATACATTTTTGTATTTGTTTTCTTCTTTTTAAGTTTATTGGACTGACAACGAAGAAATTTTAGTGTAGTCAATAGTATTGATTTCATTAGCAGTGATTAACAGTATTGTGTTTTACAGAGCAAGTCCTTTTTTTTTAATTGTTTATTTAGAGCCTGTGTAATACAAAACAGGAGGACTGCATCTCATGGGAGTATTAAAATTTATACAAAACTGCATTCCAAGATAAGTTAAGATCTCCCCATATATATAGTTATTTATCTTTTGTTTTTAACTGTGCTTGACTTCACGAGAGCTCTGTAGACTTACTGCTTTTTACAGCAATATGTATTTACAGCAATATGGGTCTGGTCTGGTCTGAAATAACACTGGCTGTGGTTTCAGAAGTCCTTTTTCACTTTTCCTTTCTGTTTAAGTCTGTTTAGTTTTAATGTTTATCCATTCAGAGTTGGGAAGTACTGAAATTATCATGGTAACTGAGTTGAACTGTTGATGATCAGTAGAAGGTGACTTCCTGTATCTTTTGTTGGGTTTTTTTCCCTCACAGACCTCAGAAGAAATAATTTTGTCAGATTGCATAGCCTGTGAATCAACCTTTTTAGCTGGAAGAGCTCTGCTGAGTACTAATTTGTACAGTCTCACTGTAGAGAGGAAAGGAAAGTTTTCTCCAGTGTATTGGACATGTCTGGCCAGTTCCTCCCAAGTCCTCTCTGAGCCCAGTCTTCTCCACACCTCAATTTTGTTTGAAGGAGGTTGGCAGAGTAAGGAAATGTTTTCTGCAAAACAGACCCCTTCCACACACTGCCACAAACTGCCAGAGACTGCTCAAGTAGGATTTCTTGTCACTGCCAAAGGTTGGGGCCTGTGTTTGAGGGCATCAGCTCAGCTTCATTGTTCTCCTGAACTTAGGTGTTCAAGTTCCCAGTGCTGCAAGAGTGTTTTTAGAACATTTCTCTTGGGTCAATAAAATAATTGCTATTCACACTAAATTTTAGAAAAGCTTTTGTAATGAAACATTAAAATCCAGGCTTTAGGCAGCTGATCCTTGAAACTGCCTTGCCTGTAAGTTGATGCATTCTTTGAGCTTACTCTTAGCTCATCATATTTTGTGACTTCAATTCTCTTTTGTATTCTAATTCAACTCTTTTTAAAATGCTGTCTTCATCCATAGCATTTCTTGAAAATTTGAATTCAAGAGTTATAATTCTGTTGGCAGCAGGAGAGCAAAGATACCTTATGGTCAGTTGGTGAACCCCGGATGAATTTTCGGATGTACTGCTTCCCTGAGCAACAGCCTGTGGAGTCTCAGCAGCCTCAAGTTTGTGTTTAGGGATACTCCTGGGGTTTGGAGGAAGCTGCCTGAACTGCAGTGTGGCACACAGGGATGTAGAAAGCTCAGGGGTTTTTTGCATGCTATTATAGCTGCTGTAATACTGCCCTTGTTTCATAGAAAATCTCCACTGTATGACAACTGCTTCCTGCATGCACCAGATGGACAGCCCCTGTGCACTTGTGATCGCAAAAAGGCTCAGTGGTATTTGGACAAGGGGATTGGAGGTAGGCATGCCAGTTTTCCTGTTGGTATTTGAAATGCAGCTCTCTCCTCTCCTCTCCTCTCCTCTCCTCTCCTCTCCTCTCCTCTC